TTGTGTGGTTTGGCTAAATAGACTATAAGGTAGATAGAAAGCTAGCTACATCATTGGGCTCAACGGTTAGTGATCAATGGTTCGATGTCTAGTTGGCATCTGGTATCAAGCAGAGTGCCCTAGCGGTTGATCTTGGAGCTGGTTTTCTTCAACATCTTCATTAATGATCTGGTTGATAGGATAGATTGCACCCTCAGCAAATTCAAGAATGACACTAATGCTGGGGGAATAGACAGATATGCTTGGAGAGTAGGGATAGGGTCCAGAATGAATATGCATATGGAGCACATGCCTTTATCAGGAAAGGCTGAGGGAACTGGGCTCACTTGCTGTACAGGAAAGAAGAATAAGGGGGGATTTAATAGCCTTCAACTACTTGAAGGGAAAAATCTAAGGAGGATGAAGCTAGACAATTCTCAGTGGTGGCAGATGACAGAAAAAGAAGCAATGGCATCTAGCCTAGACCTCCGTCAGTGAAACTTGAAGTTAGGAAGTATTATTTCAGTAGGAGAGTGGTAAAAGAGTAGAGCTGTGTCTACATTGGCAAGATTTTGTGCAAAAGCAGCCACTTTTGTGCAAAATCTTGACGCCTGTCTATACTGGCCACGAGTATTTGCACAAGAACACGAATGTTGTAATGTACAAAATCAGTGCTTCTTGCGTAAATATTCTGACGCTCCCGTTCAGGGATAAGTCCTTTTGCGCAAGAGGCCCGTGTAGACTGGTAACATCAATTTCTTGCACTAGAAAGCCCGATGGCTAAAATGGCCATTGGAGCTTTCTTGCGCAAGAGAGTGTCTATACTGGCATGTGCCTTTACGCAAAAGATTTGCTTTTGCGCAAAAGCAAATCTTTTGCGTAAAGGCACATGCCAGTATAGACACTCTCTTGAGCAAATACGTTTAACAGAAAAACTCTTCCGTTAAAAGTATTTGTGCAAAATAATGCCAGTGTAGACGCAGCCTAGAATGAGTTACCTAAGGAAGTTGTGGAATATCCATTTCTGAGGCTTTTAAGGCCAGGTTTGATAGCCTTAACTGGAATGATTCAGTTGTTCGTTCCCTGTGTCCATTTAGTTGGGGGTGGTCCCTCTTTGAGCAGGATTGGATAAGATGACCTCTTGAGGGCTCTTCCAATCCTAGTCTGATTCTATGCTGTGCACATAACAGTGAATGCCAAAGTGCTTAGCTTTCACTCCCTGGTGCGGATTCTGTGGGTGTGAACTAAAAGGTCCCCCAGTCTGCACTAATGTAGTATTTTCCAAAAAGGGAGCTGTAATAATAGGACTGGAAGTGGGGGTATTGCCACACCCCCTGCCTTAAGGTCATTTCTGCGGTATACAGATTTTACAGTTTGGTTCAATGGCTCTCAGCTCTCCAGTTGTATGTAACCTGTCTGCCAAAGTTGATAGCAACAAAGGATAGGTTTTGTAGTATTTTCAAGAATACAACACAACACTGGCTTAAGCCCTCACCCAGTGACCTGGAACATTTATACCTTTGGGCACCTCCAAGAGTCAATACATCCCTTCTCACAAAGACAGAGTCAGAGTGTAGCACAAACCTTTAACAGAAGATGGGAAGTAATTCAGCATTAGTTTGGGAAATCATCACAACTAGGGTTCATAACCACAAACCACAAGACTTACCCCAAGCATATTGGGCAGTGTCTTTTACTTCAGGTTCTTAAGTTGAGCAGCCAAAAAGTCCCTTTACTATGCCCATCCCTTCTCTGCACTCCAGTCACAGTTGCTGTCTTTGGTCAGTGCAGCCCCAGAGTTCAGAAGTTCATCTGAAGAGTTCGCCTCCCAGCCGTGTGGTTTGGGCACTCCTTAGCTGCTCTGCTGGCCACTCCTCACCACCAGCCACCTCCTCCCTGCTATCCATTCACTGAGGCTGTGTCTAAACTACATGGCTCCATCGACGGAGCCATGTAGATTAGGGTTATAGGCAAAGGGAAATGAAGCGGCGATTTAAATAATCACTGCTTCATTTAAATTTACATGGCTGCTGCGCTGAGCCGACAAACAGCTGATCAGCTGGTTTGTCCACTCAGCACGCTAGTCTGGACGCTCCCCTGCCGACATCAAAGCCCTTTGTCGGCAGCCCCGTTATTCCTTGTGGGATGAGGTTTACCGGGGCTGCCGACAAAGGGCTTTGATGTCGGCAGGGGAGCGTCCAGACTAGCGTGCTGAGTGGACAAACCAGCTGATCAGCTGTTTGTCGGCTCAGCGCAGCAGCCATGTAAATTTAAATGAAGCAGTGATTATTTAAATCGCCGCTTCATTTGCCTTTGCCAAAACAACAAATCTACATGGCGCTGTCGATGGAGCCATGTAATTTAGACGTACCCTGAGAGAACTTCAGGGCCCCCTCTTAACACACCTCCCAATGATTTCAGCTGTTAGTAGGGGAGCCTCGCTGCTTGCACATACTGGCAGTCTTTTTGCAACAAAGACACTGTCTCAAAGTACATCTAATACACTACATCTAGACTGGCATGATTTTGCACAAATACTTTTAACGGAAAAGTTTTTCCGTTAAAAATATTTGTACAAGAGAGCATCTATACTGGCATGTGCCTTTGCACAAAAGCATCCATGCCCAGTGTAGACGCTCTCTTGTGCAAGAAAGCTCTGATGGCCATTTTAGCCATCGGGCTTTCTTGCACAAGAAATTAACTTGTCTGTCTACACTGGCCCTCTTGCGGGCTTATCCCTGAGTGGGAACATCAGAGTATTTGTGCAAGAACCACTGATTTTGTACATTACAACATTCGTGTTCTTGCGCAAATACTCATGGCCAGTCTAGATAGGTGGAAAGATTTTGCACAAAAGTAGCTACTTTTGCGCAAAATCTTGCCAGTCTAGATGCATCCCAAGGCATCAGTGATTTCAGTTTTGCAGCATCTAACACGACCTTCAATTGAGCCTAATTTAACCTATTATAGCATGGAGAAAAGAAAGGTGAAGTGGTATCTAAGAAAAGGATGTGAAAGTTTAGTTGACTAATTGACTATCCAATAAGCGAATGCTTATCGGATAGTCGACTAGTTGCTTCCACCTAGTTGGAGTCCTGGGCTCCATGGGGTGCTGCCGCTGCCCCTATGAAATGCTGCCATGGAATTTCAAAGGGGCAGCGCCGCACAGCTGATCCCAGGCACCATGCAACACTGCCCCCTTTGAAATGCTGCTCCAGCGTTTCAAAGTGGCAGTGCCGCAGTTAACTGGGGAATCCCCAGCTGATCCTGGGCTCCCCCCAGCATTTCAAAGTGGCAGTGCCACACTGAGCCCGAACTCCATGTAGCATGCCAGCTTTGAAATGTACAAGAGTCCCCAGTGGGGGCTCTTGTGAATTTCAAAGAGAAAGCACAGAATGGATCTTGGGGCCAGTGTGGGACTTTGAGTCATCCCCCCCCACTTTACCCCAGGCTCCATGCAGGCGCTTCCGCTTTGAAATGCACCAGAGCCCCCACTTGGGCTCTTGTACATGTCAAAGGCAGAACGTGGAAGTGCCTATTGACTAGTTGAGTAGTCGATGGATATTCCATCGACTACTCAACTAGTAACTTAATTGCTAGTTAACATCCCTAGTCTAGGTCATTCTCATTCCACATCACCAGATACAAATACCTGTCCTCAACCTTCTTTTAATTCACTGGCTGTTGAAAGCTGTGTCCTCTGTCTAGCAAGAGCTGTTTAATTGAGGGTGAGTCCCTCCAATGGGATATGCCAGGTAGTTCGGCTGCCCTCAATTGGTGAGACATGGATAACAACCCTTTATTATGTCTGCTCCCAATAAAAAGGAGACTGGGCTCCAGCATCAACCAAAAATGATCATCCAAGGCAAGCAATACCATCATGCTGAGCACCTTGCCAGGGTGGGTGTGCTTATGCAAATTAGATCAGTTCCTTTTCTGCAACTCAGCACTAGATGTCAATGGAGAGCTTGTTCAAACTCTTCTTACATATACACATTGTTCCAGCACACCTGCCTTTTAAGTTTGTGTCTGCATCATCAACGTGAAGGAGTAATAGTGTAGTGCTACAGTGTGCACTGCTATTTGCACACCATGTAGTCCAACCATAAGGGAGCACAGAAGTGTCCCAGGCCTTTTCTAATTCTATAGCTACCCACTATTGCTGCTATTCTGTGGCTGAGAATTGAGTTTGCAGTATCAGTTCAGTTACTAATGGAGATGTGGCTGCATCAGAGAAAGGCAAGTCTAGTGGTTAGGGCACTGCTTTGGCACTTAAGAGACCTAGGTTAAATTCTCTGCTTTGCCATTGACTTTTTGAGTCATGGACCTCTCTGTTTCACTTCCCAGTTTGTAAAATGGAGAAAAGCCTTTCCTTGTGTCACAGGGCTGCTGACAGACTAAATACATTAAATATTGCAAGCTGCTCAAACTACAATAATGGGATGGCACAGAAGTGTTTAATAGCTGGTCTATTCTAATGCTGTATGTTGGTCTAAGTTACTTTAGTTCATTTATATAACTGAAGCTGACGTAACTTAGATTGAGTACAGAAGTGTATTCCTTGGTACAAAGCCTCTGCTGATTTCAATGGGATTCTATGCAAAGGTAAGGTATTGTGAGGCAGGGAGGTAGTTATGCTCCAGCTGGCTTTTGTTATACTAGTACCTAACTGTTTCAGTTTTAGATATGTTTGAAATGTAGGCACCAACTTTGGTTTTAAATATTTTTCTACATAAAACATGAGAGCTTGTTTACAACGGATAGAAATAGTGTGGTATAGTCTGAGTTAAGAAACAAGGAACAATGTATTAAAAATCTAATGAGACTTGAAAAGGAGATCAATATAAAATACACTGAGAAATCAATGCTGATGTTTTCTTTAGATAAATTGCAGCACTGATTGTCATGAAGTATATTGATGTCACTGTCACTATGACAACATTATGACAAGAACTAGTCACTCTAGGCTACCTTGTAAAAAGATCTGTCGTCTATATTTTTGTATAAAAAGTAATAGAAGTGAGAACATCTTGTTTAGTACAAGCCTTTAGTCATGGTGAGGTCAGATGATTTGATGTAGATATTGGATCAAGGTTTAGTGTGTCTCTGGCTTGAATAACTTGTCATGAAAGGTAAGAACAATTTATTATCCAAACAGTGTATTATTTTACTTTTTTAGCCAATTAGAATAAAGAGAAAGGGATTATTTTTGTATTAGTTGTATAAATTACTTAATTTTAATTTAGAAACTTCATTTCATATTTAAATTTGTTACAAATTCAGTAAGGGTGTGCATTTGAGGAATTATGTAGCATTTTTTCAGTGAAATAATTATAGTTTGTGCTTTTCTGTGTAGTTTTCACCTTTGTCATTTACAACAATCTTTCAATCTCTTCCTTTTTCTATTTCTGTAAGACTTTCAGCTTTTTTTTCTCCCCATGTTAGTTTTAGTCACTGGGCCTTTGATGTACTGGACTTCAGTGATATTGTAAAATCCATACTCCTAGTTTTTTTTCCCCTCAAATCACTTGGCTTCTACTAACTCATATTTTAAATGCTCATTTTCCCCACCCCACATCAGAAATATTACATTGCTGCTGGCAAAAGCTTCTCGAGAAGATCTTAGTCATTAGAAATATCACAAGTTAAGTAAAATCTGTCATAGTTGCATTTTTGCAGCTGTTCCAATTTTCTACAGCACAAAGCCAAAATCATGACATTAGTTGTAGGAATATATAATACAACATAGTAATAGCATGGAGATATATCCGAAGTATCACATTTTCCCTAGCATTCAGGGTTTATGTTCTGATTAAATCTGATCCAAATCCAAAACTCTTCAGGGGGATCCTTTGTATGTCGTTTGTCTTTTAAAAAACAAGCCTAATTCAATAGCATTGGCTTACTCCATCTTGATTTTACTTATTTATTACAATAAGGTAAATGGGAGAGATCACAGTGACCTTCTTTAGTTTTAATACAAAACCAGCATCGGTAGTGAAAAGATATGATACTCATTATTCAAGTATAGCTGCCGGAACAAAAGCCATTACATTTGTGATTAAGATTTAATAGGATTGCTTTTTACATTAACCCATCGTTTTTATTTTATTTTACCTTGGGGGATAGGTTATTGGAAAGGAATACAAATAAAAAAAGTTGTCATTCACCTCATATTCAGATTGAAATGAAACTTCAGAAAATTTACATGATTTAAGCAATATCTATGTAATTAGACTTTGGGGATGTGCATGAATGGTCAGTGTAAAAAAGCCTCCAAATCCACACAGATAAAGGGGGGGGGGGGGGGGGGGAGGAGATCAAAGCCTTGGCAGTAAGATTAATGTTAATGTTGCCAAAGATTATTACTTAGAGGTCTAGCAATGCATGCACACTGGCCAAACTGTTCTACAGTACATCTTAAGCAATTGAAAGAAACATCTTAATAAATTATATCTCTGGAGCAAATTGAGAGGTGAATTGCTGCACTGATCTTTTTTAAAAAGCATAAGCAAAAGAGTGGTATCTGAGGAGATTGGGGGAGCACTGATGAAAGTGCAGAATACTTGTTTCCCCAAAGAGCACTATCAAAAATGCAGAATGTTTGTTTCTAAAATGAATTACTCAAGGAGCTAAGACACTCTCCATGAAACCAACCGCAGTTATGCATTCTCTATCCTTAAGTTAAAGTACCAGTGTGGTAGACTAGAACATCAATTTTTTTTATATCACATGATTTAAGTTCCCATTAGTTCCCATTGCACACACAGTTACAGAGGAATTTATCATATGATCTAAGTAGTTTATCTAGAAACATTTGAACCATCATAACTTAACAAAGAATTTTTAGGCTTCTGAATAGATGGAGCAAAGTTAAGAAGAGAGAAGAATATACTCCACATAAGCTCAAAGGCAGGGAGGCAGGTCTTTGTTTGAACAGGTGGGGAAAGAAGGGAGGTTGCTTTAAGGGCCTCCTCCCCACTTGGAGTTTGGTGGGGGAGAGAAGGTAATACCTGGGTGGGTGGGATGGGATGGGATTTGGAAAAATCATTGGTCTCTGTGCTCTGGAGGAGAGCATATAAACCCTGTTCCTGCATCCTTCTCACACCTGAATTACACACACACACACTCACACCTGAATTACACACTCACATACACACACAGACAGAGACACTCATCCAGGAATCCATCCTTGCAGTCAACCCTGATGCCAGGTCTGTGTCTACACTTCTATAAAGGCGATATCATCACAGGACTGAGCCATGTAAACCACCACATCAGATGCTCATACAACTGCACATCCTCTAATGTGATCTATGCCATCAAGTGCCAGCAATGCCCCTCTGTCATGTATATTGGCCAAACTGGACAGTCTCTACAAGAAAGAATTAATGGACACAAATCAGATATCCAAAAAGGCAGCACACAGAAATCTGTTGGGGAACATTTTAACTTGTCTGGGCACCCATTAATGGATCTCAGTCACCATATTATTGCAAACCAAATGTCAAAAGCCAGCAGAATAGGGAACCTACAGAACTTACTTTCATTTACAGTTTGATTCCTACAACAGAAGTCTAAACAAAGATATTGGCTGGATGGCTGGCTACATTCCACATCATAATGACATAAAAAAACCAAACAAAGGGTACTTAAAGAGGGTACTGAGTATTCTTATCAGCTTCATTTAGCATGGACACTCTAATTGACAATTTCTTTTCCCTTTTTTCTTCTTTTTCCTTCTCTTCCCTCCCTACCCCCTCTGTACTATTTATTTGAAAACTGGACCCCTTAAAGTCCATTCATCTGAAGAAGTAAGTTATGCCCACAAAAGATCATCATCTGCATGTTTTGTTAGTGTCTAAGGTGCTGCTAGACTATTCCTGAAGTTTTTCCAGTTACCAACTAACACAGCTACCGCTCTGAAACTTTTGAACACACACACACACACACCTCTGTGCCTCCGGATTAGTAAAGACTGAGGGGTTTTTTTGGTCCACTGTGGGTATCGTGTTAGTTGCCTTTTTTGAGACTGGGAAGGAATTTTTCCCTTTTTGCAAGAATGGTGTGTGTGTGCGTGTGACAGAGACCATCTTCCTTATATCTCAGCGGCCTGGTGGAGCTAGGTAAAGAGATATTTAAGTTGTCTCTATATAGCAAGTGGCAGGCGTCTAATACAGGTAGCTGTGGAACCAGAACTCCTATGCCCTAATAAACCAGAATTAGAAATAAACATAGAGGAAGGAGTCACCGAAAGAAGCTGGGGGGGTCAGGTTGGCGTTCCTAATGTTGGGGTCGGCAAGGAAACAGCCCCTAGCCCCAGCAGTTTAACCATTATATGAGTGGGAGAGGTGGGACACCAGTTGTAGCTTGGGGCCAACTGAGAAGAGGGGCAGGGAGCTGATGGTAGGATCAGCTGTACTGGTGAGTTATTGCTGGATAATCCCAGAAGACTTAAATTATTAAAATTGCATGCTAATTAAACTGTATTGTAATGTATCTTGTTTTTCTTCTCATTTGTTTAGGACAAAGGCATTATGATCTAGTGAAGTGGTTCTCAACCTTTTCCATACAGTAACCTTTCTGGACAATCCTTTATCTAGAAGGCATTAAGTGTCATTTATGCTTCAGGTTTAAACTAATCTCTAACTGTTAGGGATTAGGATGTTTACAGTTGAGTTCTTGCGCCCTACTCTGAAGCACTTAGTGTGGCTACTATCAGAAAAAGGATACTTGAGAAGATGGACTATAGATCTGATCTAATATGTTGTTTCCTAAGTTGTGATATAGAAAAGTAGGCTAGTAGTCGTCACCCCTTACTACTCCCAGGAAATCTCTAATAATTGTGACCACCTAGGCTGAAAATTGATGGGGCTAAGGAATGCATTAGTCATTCTGCAGTTTTATCCTGCCTCTGAGGCTTGTTCACTATACAGCTTTTGGTAAAACACTCTTTTCTGTATCCTAGCTGATTATTCATTTGCAAGAGGTGAGATGATTGATTGATTGATTGATTTAATGTTTTCCCAGTGCTTTGAAAGTGTTTATATATGTGATAGCCAAACATTTTTATAATGGTTGATAGACATAAAAAGTAAATAGTGTAATCATTTGCAAATTAAAATATTGAATTGTGAAACTGAATAATGTCCTAGAGATAAAAAATGTGTTTGTTAGTGACCAGTCTTGTGTTTTCTATTATCATTACTGTCTAAGTTATGTAAAGGCAAGTCAGGTGGTAACAAGAGGTGGTTTTTTTTGTTTTTGTTCGTTTTTTTTTTTTTTTTTTTGCTTTTGATAGTCATTTCTGACTTCTTGGAAAACTGAACAAAATATTTAATTATAAATGAAAGTGGATAAGGCAAGTGAAAAGCTTGCATGGCTGAAGACCAAGACTTAATTAAATTTGTCAGTTTAAACTACTTCAAAGAGCTTATTTAGCACAACCAGGAAAGCAAACTAGGAACATTTAAAGTAAGCTGCCAAAAAAAAAAAAAAAAACCTTACCAGTGACACATTTAATGGCTTTGAATTTTGGCTCTGCCATTTGATTTTTAAAACATTTGCCAAATAACAAAGGGTTTATGACATAATGCACTTTTATTCTCTAGCACAAGTATCCTAAGTTAAATTATTCACGTCCGCATAAAATATTCTGTACTGCTTAGTTAGGTCTGACTTTGTTTCTTTTTTTATTACATTGTGCTGAGGTGTTTCAGTATTATGCTGATTTAGCAAAATAGTGGCTAGAAATACTGGTATTCCTGTGTGTTTTATGAAATTGGCAATTGAGTCAGGTTTTTATCGCTCTAGATAGATGTGTGAGGTCTTCATAAATTTACAAGTCTTAATGAGTGATTTTTATCTTCTGATGAAAGAGGTTAACACTCGACTGCGCTCTTAGTGGTATCTGAGGTAAGCAATGTTTCATTCCTTGTTGAGGCAAAATTATCTAAATCATTCACTATATTAATATATATATATTGCCCTTTGCACCAGAATACAGTTGACTTCCAAGCCTACAAGTTAGTGTGTGAACCTTGTCCTATCCAGAGGGTAGATCAGCATGTTGCTGAGGAGAGGGACCTGCCTTTGCAGCAATGTGCCAGAAAACTGATTCATCTTCTACTTT